TTGTTGCCAGATATTCATTATTTTGAAAACAGTTTCTTCATTTATTCTTTATTTATATACTTTTACTGTTTCAGGTGGAAGATATACAACCCTTCTCCATTGACTAAAACTGAAAGTTCCCATTTATTCCTTATTCATTAATCAAACATTGATTCCCATTTGTATACCAGACACTGTCTTAGGCATTTGGGATAACATAGGAAATAAATAATAAAACTTTGAAAAGAGTGGTAAAAGTTACAATAGGAAGTATATAATAAATCTTGAAAAGTGCATACGTGGGGTTGGGGGATTTCAACCAACAGCCTGATAAGGAAAAAAGAACAGAAAAATAAAACATTTAATGAGACCACACTCATTCAGATTAACTAGACCTATGTTCATAAAAAAATGTACAGCATTGCCTTGCAATGTTTTTAAATTGTATAATAATGATAGTGGGCACTTATAACAGCAGGTTAAAAAAGGAACCATTTCTAATTCTCAACTTCACAGAAAGAAAGTTAAGAATCATAGTTCAAAATTATTTACCTCACAAATGGCCCAAAACCTGGACATTAATGAGTCATTTATCAGGAGCAATTATTTGTAAAGCAGAACTCATCACATGTTTGTGATGGACAGTAGAGGAACAGTGGTCTCATGCTTGAATTATGATAAATGGTAAGAGCTCTGGAGTATTGAGAGAAGAAACTTTAGCATGGCTTGACTCTAAGTAATTTGTTTTTTGTGGCATCTCATTTGTGTCACATTAAAACCACAATCTCAAGGGAATATTTAAAACATATCCCTTTGGCACCTTCCATCTGTAATTCTCTACTGATTATAATCACTTTAGTGTCAGACACCTCTATCAAAGGTTTTTTAGCAACTCCTAACAATGTACCTTTTCATCACCTGAGCCAAAGAGGGTGAGACTGAAAGAGAACTGTTCTGCTGAACTCATTTACCAACTTGTGCTGAGGCTTCTGGTTTCATGATGAGGAGATTACGCAGTGTGTTCACTAAAGAACAAGGATAGGGCACTGCCTTTATGAATTGCCTAAATGAAGATTTCCTTCTTTTTCAATGAAAAGTCATGGAAGAGAGTTTGGAAAAGGTGAAAATAGAGTCTTCATTGAGAAACCAAGAATAAAACTAGAGGAGCTAAGGTTTAGCAGATGGGGAACCCTAGTGCACAAGTAAAAGAAAATGTGCTGTTTGGGCCTGCTGAGAGATTGGAAAAACATAATTAAAAAAGATTTAAACTCAGTGGAGTAGGAGAAGGAGATGGAGGGGGAAGGAGGAAGAATAGGAAAGTGAGGCGCTGTGGAATGAAGTTGACCAAATTATGCTATGTATATTCATGAATATACCACAGGGAATCCCATTGTTGTGTATATCCACAAAGCATGGATTTAAAAAATAAATAAAGAGCGCTGGGGATGTGGCTCAAGCAGTAGCGCGCTTGCCTGGCATGCGTGCGGCCGGGTTCGATCCTCAGCACCATATACAAACAAAGATGTTGTGTCCACCGAAAACT